CACTCTTATTATCTATTAGAAGTGTGATGTTAAACGAGTTCAGGTTATAAAAATCTTTAACCAGCTTTTTAACCATACTACTTCTTTTATTGTTTGGCATGCTGCAACATATTCAGCATAAGTAGTGGAATCAGTGACCGATGCTTGTCTTTGTATACACCAACTAATTACACAATTACACCACTTGATAACATATCCAGTAGTTGAGCGTCTGGTCTCAAGTTCACCAGCAAAGTCAGAATCACAATAAGCATCTAAAGATAAATGATTGTTGTTTTGAAATGTCAAGCCAAAGTTAGTTGTACCCTTGAGATATTTCAAAATTCTCTTCACGGCATTCCAATGAAGTTTTCTTGGATTTCCCATGTACCTGCTTGCTTTGTTGACTGCAAATGCAATATCAGGTCTTGTACCAAAGGATAGATATGAGACCGCCAATTACCTCTCTATAAGGTGCATTTGTTGTAGCAGATTGGTCTCCTTTATGTACATCTGGACACATTTCATGGTGAGGATCATTAGCATCATCTACCTTAAACCGTTTGATGAGCCTCTCAGTGTAAGCAGATTGATTTAAAAATATGGATCCGTCAACTCTTCTTTCTATTTGCAGTCCCAGATAAGTATTTGCATCACCATAAGTTATTTTAAATTCTTCTTGAAGTTTCAGCAGAAAATGCTCCAGCAGTCCATTGCTGTTACTTGCAGCCAAGCCATCATCCACATATATTCCAATTATTAGTTTTTTGTTATCTTTCTTCATAAAATATACACAAGTATCTGCTTTAGATTCTTCTAAACCATAAGTAATAAGAAACTTTTTCAACTTTTGATTCCAGCACCTGGAGGATTGATGTAAACCATAAGTACTTTTCAACAGCTTGCATACTTTATTGATACCATCAGAAAATCCTTGTGGTTGGTCCATAAATACTTCTTCTTGAATATCCCCATTGAGAAAAGCAGCTTTAAAATCAAATTGTTTAAGTATCAAATCTTCCTGGACCGTTGTTGCTAAAATCATTCGGATAGAGGTAAATCTCATAACCGAACTGAAGGTTTCTTTGAAATCAACTCTTTCGACTTGAGTAAAACCTTTAGCAACCAGCCTTGCTCTGTATCTAGGTGAGAATAATGACTTTGCCCTTTTCAGAATTCCATGGACGATAACCTTTGATATGGTCATCGTACCCCAAAAATATACCAACATTGCCTTTTATTTCAAGTTTTGATCTTTGTACAGATGGTAAATGAAAAATCACTTTTTCACCAAATATGTGCAATTCTTTCACGTTTGGCCTCTTGTTAAACCAGATTTCAAAAGGTGTCTGGCCAGAAATACTAGGTACTAGTCCCTACACAATTTAAAGTATAGACAGCATTGTTTACTCCTTCTGCCCAGAATCTGTGTTCCATGTCTGCAGTATACAACATTGTGCGGGAGCTTTCAATATAGTGCGGTTCTCTCGCTCTATTATTCCATTTTGTTCTGGACAATATATCACAGTTCTATGATGAGTAACTCCAAATTTTTCTAACAACTGTGTAACTTCTTGATTGACAAACTCAAGACCATTGTGAGTCCTAAAAATTTCAATGCCTTTTGGACAATGTTTCTCAGTTTTCTTTACATAGTCTTGTAAACAGCTCAGTGTATCTGATTTTGCAGCAATAAAATAAACTGTACGAAAATGTGAATAATCATCTTTGATTAACAAAAAATAACGAGCATCTCTCAACGATTTTGCATTCAAGGACCACACAGATCCACATGTACTATTTCATCTATACGACTTGTTTTAGTTTCACTCTTGGGAAACGGTAATCTGTGGATTTTTCCAACTGCACACGGTTCGCAAAATAATTTTCCATCATCATCTTTTACTTTTATATTTCGTGACTTTAAAATCTTCTTTACTGCGCCATAATTTTGATGAACCATACGTTGATGCCAAGAATTTAAGGTCTGTTGAAGCCACGAAGGCTTGCAAAAATTCTGTTGATTCTTCAGTAGCCAAGTTTAATTTAAATTTCATTTCAAATAATTTATTTGAACGCTCACCCATAGCCATGACTTCTGTTTCTTTTAAAAATTTACAATATCTCTTGTCAGCTTCCAATTTCAAATTTTTGTCCACCGCAACTCCAGCAGAAAATAGATTATATTTGAGTTGAGGAACATATAAAACATTTGAAATATGTTTTTCAGTCCATACTTGCCCATTGTAAGCTAGAATATTTATGTTTCCTCGTCCAATACCTTTCAAGTATACACCATCACCAATTCTTATGTACATTATCTTGTCTAAGGGAGTATAGTCAGCAAACCAGTCTCTTCGATGAGTCAGGTGGTCACTAGCCCCTGAATCCATGAACCAAGTGTCGACTGCTGCATTTTGCGACTTTTGCACTGTAGTTAAAGCTTCACCTATCAATCCTTCACCTTTGGCTTGTCCAGAATTATTTGAAGGCTGAGGATTATTTACATTTGACTGGTTGAACCAACATTCTCTAGCCCAGTGACCAGGTTTATGACAGGTGTGACAGTTTCCAGGCCTTTTTACCTTATTTTGGTTTTGGTGATTCGCTTTAGAAAACTTATTTTGGTTCCTGCCATATGAAGTGGACGATAAAGCATTAGCATCTTCTTCTCTTTGTTTTGGCGTATCTCTTCAATCATCAACCTTGAAGATAAGTTTGTTTTTGTTCTATCCGCCTCAGTTGTTGACTCCCATGCGCTTATGAAATAATCATACTTACGTGGTAGGGTCAACAAAAGTTTGGTCATCACATCTTTATCTTCTATTTTTTCACCTAATGTCTTCAACCTGTGAGCTAAATCTTCTATAGTTGAAATATGAGATGCCATATCATGTGAGGGATCTTTAATCAAAGAAAACCACTTTTGTTGTAGAATGTGTACAACCGATTGAGACTTTTGTTCAAAAATGCCTACTAATTTGTCCCACATGTCCTTTGAAGTTGTCGAATTAGATCTGTTACATTTTGTTTTTGATTTTTCATATTCTTCTTTTTGTTGATTTGATGCCGTATCAGGCGGTGCCTCGCCAAGAGCATTCGCGCCGCTGACGACATCCCATGTATCCGTAGATTTCAAATATACCTGTATTTGAAATTTCCATATATTCCAGTTTTCAATACCTTGTAGTTTATTTATTCTCGTTAGTTCTGAATCCATCTTGATACAAAGAACTTCTTCAACAATAACGTTTTAGATTATCAATTTCACTTTATTTGCACGAGGCCGGAACATAACCTTAAAACGCAATTACTTTCTTAAATTATTCTTTTTGCACTTTGGCTCGAATAATATTTGTTTCTCTGTGAGTCTGGGCCCATAACCTGTTGATTATTAGGCCTTAAATATTCTGTTTGTTCTACAACAACCGCCAAAGTTTTTCCAATCTTCATATTTAGGCTGTAATTACATCAACATTAATATTGGTTTGTTTGGTTTATTGTTGTTGCCCAGGATGCTTCAAATTCTGTAGGCCAAATCCTATTTGCCATCCCGGCCATTGTTTACGAATTGTCAGCTACAACACTACAGCGAGAGAAGAACCCGTAGTCCTGTATCAGATAACGTCAACTTGTAACCCAATAAGCTATACGGGAGGTTTCACCCCGAACTTCACCGGTCATTACATCTAGAAGACAGTACAAGACTCCGACACTCTTGGAAAATTAATTGCAATATTAACATTCCATCTCAAAGGGGAGGTGTTACATGCTAAATATGACGACTCTTTTCAAAGACACTATTTTCTCACACTTATAGCTAGTTATTATTTTATTTAGAAATGCTTAGTCGATAAATTATCAATATTGTATTCTTTTATGAAAACTTAAATCATTCTAGCTTTAGACTAAGCCTGATAATCATCTTGTACTTCTAAAATAAAATTCTTTTTAAAAAATGAACCAAAGAGCGATATATGTATTTCAAAGCTATGGTAAAAATATACGTTTACAAAAACTACTTAGAATTATGTAAATTACTATGAAATCTGGCTAGTGTCTTCAGTTTCAATTCTTTTTGCAAATAAACTGTTACTTTGTTAATACATGTTCCAAAGTAGAAATTCGAATCTGAGCCAGTTTAGATTAAGTAGCGTTTTTTCCGAGCCTCCGTAAATTACTTATGAGCAAAATTTGTTTTGGTCTTGCAATCTTGGTCTTTTTGTTACAATGCAAGATTAAGACCAAGATTGTCTTCAGACTAGCAAGACCGAGACTAAAACCAAGACCGGATATGCAAGATCAAAACTAAAACCAAGACCGAATATGCAAGACCAAGACCAAATGCGTTTCACTAAAACCAGAGCAAAAAGTTTTTTACAACTTTTCGACCGGGATGGAGTGTTGAAACCGTACATATTAAAAGTAGAAAAGCCTAAAAACATAAATAGAATTCAAAGCTGTAATATTAAAAGGGGTGTTCCTTTTAAAATAACGAAGTTCATGTCAACTTCCGGTTTAACCGAATGTGTGTTACCCAAACTTTTAAAAATCGAAGTAGTTTTAAAAATATTCTAATGAGTGGTTACCGTGAGATACCCTATATATTCTTGATCAACATGAGTAATGGTACAACATACTAGTTTAAGAAAATTGAAGAATTACTTAAGAAAATATGAAAAAAAAAAAAGAACGAAAACCCACAGTATTTGAAAAACCAAAGAGAAAAGAAAAAGACGAATTAATTTTAATAGCAAGATTTAGACTAAGAAGTGAGTATAGAGTGGCAAGGTACTGGAAAGAAGAGAAGAAAATGTGCAGGTTATGTAAATTAGTTACAGACGCTTGAATATGTCTGAAAAATGTGGAGTAAAAAAAATGGGAAATTCAAATGAAAGGAAAGTATGGTTTAAATAGAAGGAAGGAAATCTTGTGGAGGAAAATATCAGTAAGGCAAGAAGAATAGAAATGTTTAAAGATTGTAAAATTCTTGTATGTGGAATAAATGTAAATGCACCTTATAAATGTAAAATGTTTTAATAAAGCTATACTTATCAGTATGTAGTAATAAAAAAAACTAGATACAAACAGAATGTTATCGATATTTCATTTCAATCCCATTAAAACTGAGTAGCAGCATCCTATCACTGAAGTCAAGATAAGCTGTCATATGGAATGCCATATTAGAGAGAACTATTACATATTCAAAAAAGGCAAAAGCCGAATACACTGAAAATGAAAAGCTTGAATATTGTTCAATAATCCTCAACTATCTTACCATATGGTTCACAAAAAGAATTATGCCTCATAAAAAAATATACTGCCAATATTATACAGATTAGATTTAACAGAAGTATCCTCTTCTTTAATTTTAGACTTTTAACTTCTGCTGTATTTCTTTGACTTCTTCGAAATCGTTTATGCATAATCCATATGATTAACATATAACATTCTGTCACGCAGATAAATGTGATGAATGCAAATTTGTGGACAGCTAAAAATTGAAAAATCTAAAAAACCTATTCGCTAGGTACTTATCAAAATTCTTTTGACTTACCATAACTATTTGATGAAGTCCAAAATGAAAGTATAATTAAAGCTATGTTTTCTATAACGTTCAAGAAACATACCAGTATGTTACAACAAAATGTCCATGGATATAAAACTTCTTGATGATACTTTAAGTAAAAGTTAGCTACTAGAAGTCTGGGAATAAACTGAAAGATAACAGCAAACTGCCAGATATTCTTTTGCGGATAAAAATTGCCAATTATAGATGAAACAGAAGGGAGAAAATTGTAAACATGACAATGAGATGAAGTAGATTTCTCAAAATTGTAAAGAATTGAATATACTGCACAGAATACAAATGAAAAGAAAGGCACCGAAACAACAATCCACGCAAATTTTCCGAAAGGAACTTTCAGACAATATTTTGAAATAATATAATCTTCAAATGGTTTCAATTTATTACCGTTTGTCATTGTTTTTACCAATTAATTATTGTATCCTAACAGGCATATTTTGTATAATTGTTATGACGGCCGTGCCTCAACAATAATTGAAACAAACATCTATTGCAAGCATCTTATTTATGGAAACAAATCATAAACCATAGATAAGAGAAATTACAATAACACCGTAAACAAACCATCTATTGTTTTCGAAGGTTTTTAATCGTCGACCCATAGGTAAGCGTCGATCAAAGGCAAAGAAATTAAATCGGCAACAAAAGGGTGACTAGAAACCATCTGATTCATGGTGGGCAAATAATTATTTTGTCATGTCTATGGTAATTGACTTTGCCACCATATATGTAATATTCCTATACTGCATCGACGTTTACTAATGGACATGCCTTAGCGGTCAGAATTGTGGTACAACAAAAGAAAGAGATGGAATTAAGTTTCGGACAATATCCATCTGCCATCTCTCTCACGATAGTGCGTAAGCGTGTCATGAAAGAGATAGCACTTCTTTGTACATACTTTCATAGCTCAGTTTGAAAGCTCAAGTGATGCGCAATCCTTAGGCGTCAATTAAATTGTGAGATTCTCAATAATTTTTGAATAAATGTGCATTGAATTTTTCCTAGCCCCTAAAACAATTTTCTTCCTTTTTCAATACGTATAAATCAGTGGACTATTTAAATCAGGTGTCTGTTTCATATCGCCCGACTGGTGTAGGAGGGCATAGGTAAAAAATTAGAAATTTGAGTTTTATTTTGTGTTGATTAGTTTGTCTATGGTAGAAGTCTCATCTATGGTAGAAGTCACTGAAATATGAAATTACAATCTTAGAATCTTATTACAATAGTTACAATAGGCAGTAGAGGTGGTAAATAACTGATCAGTTGGGCCTAAAAGCGGAGTTTTGTTTGTGTAATTTATGTAGGGTTGAAAACATAAAACTTGATTCGGCCATTACTAGTTAAATGAAATATTCACAGTAATATGTAATGTGTTGAAAAGTAAAAATTATCAACAAAACCATGAGCAAACCTGCGGATGTTCTTGACAAGTGTTAGTGTGTATTCTGTCATTTGTGACGCGACTGTTCGTTTTTACGTAATAAATATGTGTATATCCTGCAAATAAGGACTCATTCTATATTTAGCAATTCAAATATTTTGCGCAAATTGCAACAAAGAAACGTGTAAAAGGCAAACATATAAGAAATAATTCTGGCCTCTACGAGCGAGTCTTCGGGGGAAGACGACGGTGGACAGCCGCCTCGTAAAAAATCCCGAATAGACGTCAATTCTTGTGTAGAAAGTATGCAGTCACCTGGTAATGTTTGTGTGCAAAATGGTGCTTCGAATCCTAGTAATGGTTCAACTGAAAACGGACATGGAGATTCGGAAGCTATAAATAATAATGCAGACCTAATTAACACTGTTATTGTAGATCAAACTAATCAAGATATAGTGCGTCTTATTGGACAATACTTATCAAATGAAGGTTTGAAGTAAGTGCTTTTCATCTTTTATTTGTTTTCAAAATTTACGTAATTTTGATTAAAAAATAGTAAAAAGGTAAGGTAAATTAATAAACAGTGTATATCTTCTATGTTTGTTTATATATTTTCAGCATTATGTATTGTGTGTAGGTACTAAATAACATTATTTACACTGGTATTACATATAAACCCTACATCTGCTCACAAAAGAAAGTAACAATATTATATTCTAGAAGTATGCTGTGGGGTCTAAGGTAAATAGTAGTGAGTTTACAAGAGTTGTATTTATGTTTTAAAAAATTTCTTTTGCAACTATTGAGACACTGTACTTACAATATTTTTTTACATACCTACTTGCTATTGGACGACCTATTTCTGATGGCTTTTATTATTTGTTTTTAAATGCTGGTTTCACTACAGAAAATTATACATGTTAAAAGGAATACTAGTCTTTGTTCTTTTACATACATATTATTTATTATATTTAAAGAAAAGAGCAGAGCAGGGTTGTAGGATCAGTTTATTGTTATAACAATCCACCAACTTTTCGGCCCTTGTGTGGGACTTTTTCAATGCTACAAAAGTAATAAGTTAACTAACAGTTCGTATTTATATAAATTACATACTATAGTTTTCTTAGTTGGGTGAAAACATCCAATAGGTGTGAGTGAAACAGTGATACAACAAAAAAAAAGTTAGCGAAACAATAAGTTCAAAGGACGATAAAAACACTAATTAAAAATACGACTATCAATAAAAACGAACAATTCAATAATTAGATCTGCTAATTAAAATAGAATTTATAAATATAATAATAAATACTATAAATAGTTAAAAGTATAAAATTAACCACGTGGTGAAGACGGACGGAACAATAACACATA